CCCACGGCGCCGCTCCCGGCTGCTGCCCTCCCCGCACCGCAGAGCATCCCTGCTCCGCAGCATCCCTGCTCCGCGCTCCTTCCTGCCGCTCGCCGCCACCAGCGCCTACTCACTTGGGCAGAGCTGCTGCGGGGATCCCCTGTTTGGGGCACCAAATCTCCCTAAAACTCGGGGCACTGGAAAGCGCAGCCCTGACTATCACGGCCCCTGCCCCTGCGGGGGGTCCTGCTGTACGGAGCTGGGAGGGCCAGCACGGAGCCGGGCCAGGCGCCGCGGCACCGCGCGGGGCGCTGAACCCGGTGACACAAGCGGCACCCAGAGCGCGGAGCATCGGAGCCCTCCAAATCGCTGCTGGGGCTGGTGTCACTCCGGCAGGTCCTGCCGCGCTGCGTGTGCTGCTCAGTGCTCGTAACGCAGCGTTTCCGAGCCACAAGGGTCAACACCAAGTCCCAGCGCCTCGAACACTCCAGAAGTGCAGGCTGAGGAGCGAGCGCGGTGCAAACAGCACCCGGCACGTGGAGGGGACTGCACGTGACCGCTGAACCCCGCGCCGCAGGTCACAACAGGCACCTGGGCATATTCCAAGGACCAGCTCAGGTCAGCTCCGGAATTCCCTTGGCACAGAAAACGTCAGGCCTTCCCAGCAGCCCTGACACGGTCACGCTCCTCCCAAGCTCTTCTCGGGAGACTCTGCAATTCTCCATCCTCCCTGCCAGCTGGGACTTGCACGGCGCCCTTCCCTCAGCACTCAGGATGGGATGCAGGCGAGATGGGAGCTGCTCATTCCTTGCCGCATTCCCTGGAAACGCGTCTGTGCCAGCTGCTCTGGGCAGTCCCGCTCTCCTCCCCTCTACCCCACGTTCACGGCAGAGATGCAGCGCGACGTGCCGGGACGGGAGGAGCCTTCCTGCTCCGTCCAGGATTTCCCATCACCGGCTGCACCCTGTCGCTCTCACGTCCCTGACCGCTGTCCCCGGCCCTGCGCGCCGCAGCTGCGCACACAACCATTCCCAATGCGCTTCACCCCGCCGGCTGCCTTCCCCACGGAGCATCCCGTTCCCCCAGCTCTGCTCCGAGGAGCTGCCACCAGCCCCGGCCCGGCAGCTCCCGGGGGTCTGCGCTGGCACCTCCTGC